GGCTATCTGTCACTCCATCATCCCCCTGGCCACAGGGAGGTGGGCATGGGGAGGGGGCAAGCTTGGGGGCTCTGAGAGGATGCCAGGCTCCCTCCCCACACACAGATTCCACAATACCCTCCAGTTTGGAGTACAGGTTTAAATATAAAAAGTGAAACCATGCAAGTGCACTAGAATAATTTACATGCTCTTGGGGTGAGAAACATCTAAGCATAATGCCAAGTACCGAAACCATGGTGATAAATGAATCTCAGAAAAACTGTGTAACTTTCATATGTCTGAAACACAATGACCAAAATAAAAAGGCAGTCTACAAACTGGAAAAATATTTGCATCAAATACAAAGGATTATTAATATGTAAATAGCTTTTACAAAACCAACAGAAAAATGAGTGATTAAGAAGTGGAAAGTCACACGCGCGCGTGCACACACACACACAGCCAATGGCCAGTCAACACGTGGGAAAGATGTTCCATCTCACCAGCAGGCGAAGTAACACTCACACCCATGGGTAAAATTAGGCTGACGCATTGGAGGAGCGAAGGTTTTTAACATGATAATCCCTGTTCTGAGGAAAAGGGGGGAGATAGTCAGGTTTGCCTTACTAGTGAGAACACTAAATTAGAAAATCCCTCCCTGGAGGGCAATTTAGCAATATGAACCTAAAGTCTTAAGAAGTTTGACATAAGGGGGGAGGGGGGCAAGGGCAATATATGTAACCTTAACATTTGTACCCCCATAATATGCTGAAGTAAAAAAGGAAAAAAAAAGAAGTTTGACATAGTCATTTCCTTCTAGAAATGTATTCATGTATTCCCAAAGACTTAGTAATAATTGGGATAAAGTTTGAGCTACAAGCAAAGTCATTCCAGTATTATTTCCTGAGAGGAAAAAAAAAAAACCACCTGGAAAATAACCAACATGGTCATCAAAACAAGATTGTTTAAATTGATACATACATGCAACAGAACATTATATCACCACTTAAAAAAGATACTTCAAATGACAACATACGGTGATCACTATATATTAAAGAGTTTCCAAACAGAATTTACAGTGTAATCCCATTTTTTGTATAAAAATGCAGTCTATGCATTGGAAAAATAACCTTCTAGAAGCAAATATGTCCATAACAATTGTTAATGGAAATTTACTGAGGTTTTTTTTTCAGTTTCCTTATTTTCAAACTTTACAATGAACCCCTTTTACACAAGAACTCAATGAAGAATTACTTAAAAGAGGTGGAAGGCGTGAGGGCTGAGGGGTTAGAGGGTGGCGGCGGGTCCTCCACACTAGCAGGCGCAGGGTGGAGAGGGCACCCGGCTCAGAGAAGTCAAGGCCACGTGCCTTGGAACATGCACCTTCCCGTCTTTCTTATTTTTAGTTCTTGTTTTGCTGTCTTCCCCTTGCTATTTCAGGACTGCATCAGTATATTTTTGTGTGTTAAATACAAACATTTAAGATACCACAAATACATGTAGGCCTATTGGCCTTCATTTCACACCAGCACCACATATAACAAGTACCACACGGCCAGAAGTTAGCACTTCCTCCAGAGACCTCACTACACACAGAGAGGTTAGCCCAGGCATTAAGGGTCCTTGGGTCTCTTCATGGCCATGGTCAACAGGACAAACCAAGGGCAGCTGGCCGGGTGGGGTGAGGGCAATTACTGTCAATCTCTTTTTGTACCACAGATCATTTCTGCAATCCTCAGTGTCTCCAACCTGAGCGCTTGGGGAAGCCTCAAGCAATACTTCCTCTCAAGCTATTTTCCTTTTTAAAACAATGTCACATTCAACTTCTGCTATTCTTATGCCCCATGACTTTTAATTTGCACAAGACCAGCACAAGCCCACTCACTGAAACCCACTGTATCATCCACACCTCCAGGAGTTCACAGGGAAGGCTGAATTTAGACCCATGCATGAGGAGCCAGTGATTAGTAACAATTGCCAGCACTGCCATCAACATCGCCTGCCCAGCCCACCCACCTGAGGACAACTATGGGGAAAGGAGGACGGTGAGCCAAGCCTTCACCTGCCTGCCTCACCTCTCTGCTCCTATATCAAGAAAACCTATCGCATATCGACTTCTAATACTCAACATTTGTACCCCATGAGTCAATTCTTCAGCATGGCTCGGTTGCTGGGAAACAGTACCATTAAATACACACACTTCAAACAGTTTTCCTCAATGCTGGAAGCAGTTCTGTACCCACGACATAAAAAACAAGAAAAATCAGGAGATTTGAGAAGGGATGGAGGTAGTGGAGAGGTTCTGGGGCAAAAAGCAAACAGAAGGGGGAAGACAGGGAAGGAGCATCGATTGTTTCTGGGGCGTGGAGGAAAGGGGTGACGAGCACGGAGAGGATCCTGGAACCTGTACCCAGCAGTGTCCACTCTTGGCAGTGGTGTGAGCCCCAGGCAAAAGGTTTGCTGGGCAGCATGGTGACTTCCTCTTCCCAGTGCAAGACACACTCAGGAGCTAGCATGGCAGCAGAGCTGGAAATGGTTTCCACTCTGAGCTCAAAGTTTGTCTCCTGTGAGGCAAAACCTTACAGCCCAAAAGAGGTAACACAGAACAGCAGTATACACGCCAGTACGGAACAGTTCCCAGGTTGAAATTCTGCTGCCACGTCCCCACCCAGGACACAGACTCAAGTTACAAACCATGACATATTTTGGATTATGTATGACACATATTTGGATTATGCTGTGCCCTTTGCACAGCACTTACCTAAGGAGGCCCAAACATTTCAGTCATTTACCAAAAGAAAAAAATGTAAGCCAAACTCATGAGAATTATGCACTTAGACCCAAGTCCCAGATACATTCCAGCTACCCAAAGACTGCAAATATGGAAAATGTGTATTACATGTCCATTCTATTCTTTAGACTGTTTCCTCTAAACAAATAAAAATAGGTACCACTTGGAAATCTAACCAGGTAATGTTTTAGGATAATATAGTCAAAGTACTGCCCCACCTACACACCCACCTTCCTTGGCCGTGTGGTTCACATTTCCCACAACCATTACCAAGTCCCAGTGAGCAGCGCCCCCCTGCCCACCCACCAGTCTTCACGCCGTTGAGGACGCACACCAGTTCTATTTGAGGTTACCTCCATCTACGGAAATGGCCTCAATTACTTGGAGCTAGGAAATAAAGGCCTAAATCTACAATATAAAGATACATCCAACATCTTTATGAAGGCAACTCGATAGGGGTTGAGAAATGTAACAGTAATACAACAATTCTAATGAGTTCAGAACTCAAACCTTTATTTGTGCTGTAAGGGGAAGAAAAATGATTAGTAATTTAGGTACATGATGCAACAGGATTAGTTGTTACCATACAGAGCAACATGGAAGTACTTTAACCACCTACATTTACAGCTTTGATTTCACAATAGCATACCAGAGAACATTTCCCCATACAAGCATGACTAACACACTTTAAATTCCAACAGTAATCATGTGCATCACGCCCAAGTCACTGATTAAGAATTGAACTACCAAGTCAACATATTTTTAAACATTTAAAAAAAGGAACCCATAAGACACAAATATTCTAAGGATACAAGTATTGGGGATTTAAAATGTTTTAGATGAAACTTAAAGGGAAGAGAGACATGATAAAAAGCCACTGGTACTATTCAAGAGATGCAGCTCAGAAACAAGAAGGGTTTTGACTTTGTTTGAATTTTACAGAACCCCATCCAATAAAGGCCCTTCCCACCCCAACTTCCACTTAGCTCTTATTTTTCAAACTGATTTTGGTTGATAGCCTCCCCTCTAATCCTGTATCATTTAAAAAGCAAACATTGAAACTAAAAATACAAAGGATTATTCATTCTAACCTTAGCAAAGGCCCATGTATCATTTGCTACCAAATATTACAGTAATTTTACAGTGACCACAAGATTATTTGGTTCTCTCGTTACAATGACTTATGATATGAAGACAACAGCAAGCAAAACTTTTGCCGTTATTAAACCAAACACAGAAAAGACAAAAGATGTGTTTAAAAGGCACGACTTATATACGAAATTCCTTCAAGATAACTGTATTTTCAATTATTGAAAATATTTTCAAAATAATTGTATTGTGTATTTCACTTTGCTTAGAATTTCCATCTCAAAATATCTGTGACGAAACACGAATTACAAATCCAGAAGAGCCCATTTAACCTCATTTTAGGTGCTCACTTAAATACTTTAAAAACCTACAATTTAGGCATTTAGAAGTCTTTCCTAAGACTGTTACTGAAAATCACACACACATAAAGCTTGTAAAGAACAGTGAAGGATGTTAATCTGCGGATGCATGGCACTCATCTTTCAAGTGACTAATATTCAGGTTTTTGGTTACACTGTCAGTCTTTCCCACCTTGCAGCAGAGCAAAACAATTTTGCTTTTTCCTTACATTTAAAATTCTAAGCACTTTAAAAAGTTTCCAAACAATTTAACCAGCACTAACAATTTACTTACTAGTACTTTTCCTTGGCTCAGCAGTTCTATTAGATTCCCCAGAATTCCAGAGAATTACCTTCAACCCACACATCTCTACTACTCCACCCCACCTCCCCTTCTCCACCTGATCCCTCCCAACACCAGTGCTAAGTGTGCCCTCCACCTCCTATAACTCCCACCACAGGGTCCTCTTATTGGAATGCCCAGAATTCTTTGCAATCTAATAAAGTAAAATTCAAGTTAAAAAAAATGGAGTGAGCAGGGCGATACGGCATATGCCTGTAATCCCAGCTACTCAGATGGCTGGGGCAGGAGGATCACTTGAGCCCAGGAGGCCAGCCTTGGCAACATAGTGAGACCTCACTGCTAAAAATAAATAAATAAATAAATAAAATTTTAAGATGGATTAAGAGCTAAAGATCACTACTGCTACATTAACCATTCCCTTCTGCTAGTAATCTGTAATGCAACCGGAATGCCCAATATAGACCTGCCGTCCCTGACACAGAATTTGGGCATAACCCACCCCCTACCCCCAGACTTTAGCACAACACGTTGATCCCCTCAATTTAACATTCTCCTTCATCTAATGTATCCCCTCTAAGGCATTTTAAATTGAACAGTTTCCCCCCAACACCCAAGTTTATTCAATGCACTAAGAATTCCTCCGAGCAACACACAGGCAAGGCAGGTAGGCAAACAGGTGGGTAGGTGAGCGATCACTGGGCTCCATCTGCAAGCTCCATCTACAAGGCATCCCTCTCCGTGGCGGCATCACTGTTAAAATGTTCTAAAGAATCTTCTTGAAGCAAACAAAGTTCGTAGCATGTAGCACAGAACTAGTATGGCTGGAGGCTCAATTTAGAAGATGCAGCATCTGAAAACCTTTACTCCAAGAAAGGAGGGGTGCCTGCTGGCATTCATGTGCTCCCGGAACAAACATTCATTCAAAGCGGATGGCCCCTCAAGCCGGATCCATCTGTTTTGGACTTTTTAAGATTGCCCCCTCATAAGCTCATCTGAAAACCTTAAATGGTGGCCTCCTGAATACAGGGCTGGAGCAAGGCCTGAAAACATGACATCGGAGAACTTCCTCCTCCTAAGCCTCTGGAAATTCAATCTGCAGTTAGGCGGGCTCTCTGCTCTCCTCCAGGGTCTCCCCTCCTGCACTGCTACGACTCACACTGGCCAGGGGCTCCATTTCTCCTGGTGCCATCTGCTCGCCATGATGAACACTACAGTAACAAACCAGGTCCATGAGGCATCTGTGTAACGTTGAGCTGGAACCAATACTGAGGGCCCGCCCAAGGGTACACATTTGATCCCCACCCTCTGCACCAACAAGCAACACCAACCCACCCCACCCCAACTCTCAGCGGGGAGAGCCTTTCCAACTCGACCATTACCAACAACACCAACTGCGACAGTCCCTGAACTCAGGCTACTTCCCCAGGCTTACCAGATTACCAGAGGCAACGTTTTAAGTGAATGATACCCTTGAGAGAGTTAAAGGGAGAGGGGTAGAGTGAGCTCACAGAAGAGTTTAGCACCAAACCTAGAGAAAAGTCCAAAGGGGAGCACTGCCACCTGGAAAATAAAGCGTTGGTCAATTGTCGCCCCAAGACACACAAATATCCTGCCTCAGCAGCCCCCACCTATCAATCACGTTAGGTGCCGCAGCAGTAACAGCGGAGGCTGGCACCTTACCTCCGGAATCACGCCTTGGACCACCCCTCACCTCCGACCGGGGGCTCGCTTCACACCCAGACCTGGGCTCCACCAGGCCGAGCCCAAGTTACATACCAGCCTGGGCCAGAGCTGTCACCCCAGCAGAGCTAAGTTCAGTTTCCACAAGACCAGGGCCTCATTCCCAGGCTGGTTCACAACCCTCTGTCTGTAAAAAAAGGGGGCTGCTAGCATTGACAAGTTCAAGGTCGGCCCTCCCAGCCCACCTACAGTCCTCCTTTCCTGACCATTCCCAGGGCATCAAGTGCCCCATTCCGCTACCACTGCCTCCTTTCACCCAAACCAGGGCCCTGGGGCTCCCTCACTCCATGAAAGGCAGTGGCCTCCTGGAGGTCAAGTCCCCCCTCTCCGGTAGGCAGCAGGCCCAGCCTGACCTGGAGAGCTGCTGTCCTCCCTATGGGTAACTGCGGGCAACTCCCAAGCAGCCCGCCCCACTGTGGTCCTCCCAAGATCTGGTCTCCTTTTCATTCTTTCGCCTCCTCGCACCCCCACAGCCCCAGTCTCATCTAACTCGGTCAACTCCCGCATTTGTCCCCTGAGACCCTAAACTAGCCACTTCCTCCCCCACAACTAAACCCAGGCAAGCGGCCCTCCCTGTCGCTAACTCCTGCTGGACTAGTCACAACTTTTGCTTTTATAGCCCTGGGTCGCATCACTCGGCAAACTTCTCAACGGGACGATTCCTCCACTGCCACCGGAAAAAAAGTCCCTCCCCCACCCTGCCCACGGCCGATTCCCGGTCTCCCCCAGGGGCCACCCCCTTAAATTCCCTAGTTTATTCCCACTTCTCCCCTAGCAGTGCTTCCTGCGGTGAAGGACAGACCTCAAGGTCACACTTGGGAGGCGGGTGCCATAGGAGGAAAGCCTCCTTTTCTTCTAGTGGTGGTGACGGGAGGTGGGGAGTTGCACAGTTCCCAAAATGAGGGGCTTGGTGAAGGAGGCAGGTGGCGGGGGTCGCTCTCTTGAGCGGGCAAAAGGAGCTGCCAGGGTCGCCTCAGGTCACCCCGCCCCGCAGAGGCCCGAAAGAAGGGCCGGCAGAGCGACTGGAAAATTCCAGGCGGCGGCGGAGGGATCTCTGCAGAGGGCGCATCACTCGGGGAGGGTGGGGGTGGGGTGGGGCGGCGGCGCGTGACTGCCGGGCGGGGACACACCTCGTGGTCGGCCGGTTACGTCAGCGCTGGGGCGCGCGGGTGGGGGCGGGGCGGCCCGGGGGCCGAGCCTGGGGGGCCGCGAACGTCTGAGGGTAGACGCGGTGTCCCTCACCCTGGACCCAGCTGACAATCTCTGGCTAAGAAACCCTGCTGTGTCCTTTGAAAGTGTTAGGGAGCAAGTTGGTGACAACGTTAAGCTCTGGTGGAGCTGCCCCGTCACTTGAGGGGCATGTGTTAAGATTTTGTTACTCTTGAGAAAATTAAAAAAAATATATATATATATGCATTGATGAGAAAATTAAAAAAAAAAAAAAGATTTTGTTACTCTGTCTGCAGGGGTCTGGAGAGCGGCAGTGTCCCTAAGAGCAGACACGCCTGGTGGGGTAGAACACTCAGTGAAATGTGTTCCTGATGGACTAAATGGAATAAGGCACTTTAATTATTGCAAAATAATGTAAAAGCAAGATTTTGTGCTGAAAATAGTATGTATAATCTCATGGCAACACTACCAAAAGGGTATAGATTTTCAACTAATTTTACTTTTGGATTGAGGCGTTGGGGAGAAAGGTGATATTTTAAAAAACTACATTTGTCCAGGGCAGTTTAGAGCCTATGGTGGCCTCAGGGCAAGGGCCTAAAGTACTGCCACCCAACAGGCCCTGGCCCGGGTCTTCTAGAAGCAAACCCTGGGGACTCCTGTGCCCCCTGCCAAGGCTGGGCAGGGCCTGAATGTCTGGAGAGGATTTTGAAAAGCCACCCTGGCGGGGGATGGTGCAGGGTGAGGAGGAACCACTGCCCGGATCCTGCTGCCATCTGTTCAGCCCCCGGCCCCTGAAGGGTGAGGCAGAAAAAGGACGCTGGTCAAAGTAACAAGAACTGAGAATGGCATCTGGCACGAAGTCCTGCCAGGATGTCTCCTGGGGTAACAGTCACACCCCAAACAAACCACCAGAGACAACAGGATCCTTTGGCAACCGGGAGGAAACTGGGGAAGTTGTTTTTCCCCTGCCTCTGTGAGATGGCATCTGCGGCCAGGGCGGGGCCCAGCATGCACCCCTCCCTGTGGTTCTCGGAAAACTGGTGACTCGGTCTCATCTGACCTTCAACACAGAAGTCGATGATGTGGCAAGCCCGGGCCTGTTCACTGGCCTGCTTAGCCCCACTCTTCTGCCAGCTGTGGATTCCAGTAGCTCACCCTGCCCCTAGGTCTGCCTCACTAGTCCTGTCCTGACATTTCCAGTGGTGGGTTGGGGTAGGACAACTTTGGCCTGAGGGAAAGGTACAGAAAAAGGGAATTGCCTGTCAGAATGTTCTAGAAAGCTGGGAGGGATATATGAAGCCAATGGAGTGACTCTTCCCTGCTGCCTCACAGTCCCAGGCTGTGGAGCCAGCCTTTTATTTATCTGACAAGGCATCTGAGGGGTGGGTGGTCACTGCTGTAGAGCTGCCAGAAATGACTGAGATTTTATTTTTCAAAGAGAAGGGAGAGGCTGGGCGTGGTGGCTCACGCCTGTAATCCTCCCAGCACTTTGGGAGGCAGAGGTGGGAGGATCTCTCAAGGTCAGGAGCTTGAGACCAGCCTGAGCAAGCGTGAGACCCTGTCTCTACTAAAAATAGACATTAATTGGCCGACTAAAAATATATATGGAAAAAATTAGCCAGGCATGGTGGCACATTTCTGTAGTCCCAGCTTCTCGGGAGGCTGAGGCAGGAGGATCACTTGAGCCCAGGAGTTTGAGGTTGCTGTGAGCTAGGCTGACGCCACAGCACTCTAGCCGGGGCAACAGAGTGAGACTCTGTCTCAAAGAAAAAAGAGAAGGGAGAACTAGCAGCACACAAAGCATAGGGTTCTATAAAGAGTAGGTTTCCTGGCACAAAGGCAAATAAGGCTCCTTTGTGCCCTTGTGTCTGGCGCTGCCACCACCACCCTTGGTTTTCAAGGACAAAAGGGCACAGTTTCAGAGATCTTTACATAGATGCTCTGTTGGCCTCCGTAGTTCCACACAGCTTTTTTTCCTTGGGAAAGGAATGTATTTGAGGAGAGATGAGTTGAGGGTAGAAAACCACACAGGGGCGTCTCTGTCCTGCCTTAGGGGGCCCAGGCAGTGCCCACAGTACAGTGGGCCTAGTTCTGCCTTCGTCCTCTGCACACAAGGATAAAAATACCTCCACCCTGACTGAGGGCAGCCAGTGCGTCAGCAGATTTCTCTTGCTCAAAACAAGCTGTTCCAGAAAACAGCAGTAAACAGAGGACCTTGGATCCTGGGGTGGGGTTGGGTAGTGATGGGCTGCCCTGCCTGGGTGGGTGGCCACAGCTTGCTCCTTCCCAGGAGAGAACAGGAAGGAGCCACTTTGGCTACGTCCAGAGTCAGGGCCCTGTCTCCAGGCCCTTTCTCACGGCCATGTTCAGTCAAAGTCACTGGTTTCCCTGGTGACCAGCCCCCCTATCTTATTCTGAAGCCAGCTCAGCCCTATTATTTCCAAACGCACATGCACTTGAGCCCAGGAAAGGACCCAAGGGAGCCCCTGGAAGAGGGAGAGACTACAAAGGGTGAGAAAAGTGTGCTTTGGGTTTACAAAAGGGCAGGACAATGACGGTATTGCTGTCACTACCTGAGAATATGCCAGAACTCCAGCCCCCATCTGCATCTGCTTGGATCCGGTTCCAGAGCTGTGCCTCCTGGCCCACCTTGGGCTCCCACTCCACGGAGGTCCTTGGCCCTTTTCCTCTGAGCCCCAAGGGCCCAGGGCCCAGAGTCTGGAAACTGCACAGTCACCGTGCGCTGGCAGCGGGGAGCCTGCCTGCCTGCTGTCTCACCATAGCTTGTGTGGGGGGTTGGGGACGACAGCCTGGGCCCCACCCCCAGCTCCCCCCAGCCTCTTCCAGCAAGGCTCCGGCTGCTCTGACCCCACCTCTCAAGTGACCAAGTGACTGCAGACAAGCCCTTCACCTCTCCCAGCGTTGCTTGACCCATCCTGAGGCCCCTCCCGCCCTAACGTTTCATAATTCTGACAAATATTGTCTTGCTTGGAACACTCTTTACCCACCAGCTGCCTGGCCCATCCAGCTCAGCCCCTTCAGGCCTCTGTCCCAAGGTCACCTCTCTGGGAGCCCCCTGACTGCAGCTCTAAAGCATCCCCATATCTTGATCCCTTTGAGGGAGGGGTTTCCTCTATTTTGTCCTGATCTCTGTGTGGGTAGAGCCCCTGGCATGAGGTAGACCTAAGTAAACGTGTGTGCAACTCCGGAATTTATGCTTTGAGAAGGTCACTCTGACCACTGTGAGGCTCTCGGGAAATAGTTGTGGACTGACAGAAGGAAGGGAGTTACCAGGTCAGCTGTCAGCTGTGGCCCAAAATGCAATGACAGGCCCAGATCTGTGGGCAGGGGCAGCGGCTGCTTGGGGAGGACTGGTCCGGGAGGACTGGAGATGCCTGGGCAGGGGAGTGGGGGGGCAAGCCCGGGAGTCAGAGGGCATTGGTCCTGGTTTACAGAGCAGAGGTTAGGTGGGATGGGCTCCCGGGGGCTGGTCATCTTTCTTCTACTGCACCTGTGCCCATGGGCTGACTGTCCCTGCCCTGCTTGACAGGACCTTCCTTCCCAGCTGCCTGGGCCCCTCGCAGCACCTCCCATCCCCTATGTGTACTGAGCCCTCCAGCCATTTTTAACTATTTGACATAAATATAACTTGGACCAGCCGGCCACTTAGGCCAAAAAACAGGGAGCCAGAGGGGCAGGAGCTGCTCAGTCAGGAGGAGGCTGCTCACACCTTTGACCCTCATCTCACCTGGGATGTGGGGGTCTGTGGGGCTGGGTTCCTGCTGCCGTTTCCTTACCACTACCAGGGCACATCCAACAGGGGCTTCGTCTGCCTAGTGCCAGGCCTCAGGCCTTGGGCCATGCCTTCCAGGAAAGGACTTTGATGGTGTCAGTGCCCTACATCTGTATCTCCCGGGACTACTCCCTGTTCCCTGCCACTCTTGAGCACGTGGCCTCTTGCTCCTCCCAGGCCCTCCCGGCCCAGTCCTGCTGAATAGTCACAGCGTCCAGTCCCGAGGCTTGCCCCAGTCGCCCCGCACCACGCCCTCCCTGCCTCCTCCTGCCAGCTCCTTCCCGGCTCACTGCTGCGCCTGATGCTGTCACAGCGCTCACCAGACCCACCTGTTCCCACCTTGGCCACACTGGACGCCTGTGTCCTCACTGCTGGTCCGGGCCTGCCCGCAGAGGGAGAGCCTGTGGAATGTATGGCCTGGTCCCCAAAGCCTTGCCTCTTGGGGCTGCCTAGTGCCTCCACCGGCCCCTAGATCTCCTCTACCCCCCTGTTGCTGACAAAGCAAGTCCCAGCTTCCCTCAGCCCCACACTTTGGCCTGTGCCCACCTTTGCAGCCTCCTCTCCAAACCCACCAGGAGTCCTGGTGCCAGCTCCTCTGGGCAGGGAGCCGGCTGCTTGGTGCCGACAATCTGCCATCTCC